TGCTTCGTTGTGTCCATTACCTATTCCTCCTCCTACCGACCCAGAAGTTATTATATCTATTTCGAGACGATTCAAGATGCGTACATGTACTCCAGACGGCATGCATCCCAGGCATTACTCGCTGCTGTCAACTGGTGCGCTGGAGGCGCTCTCGTTAATCTTCCACATGATGGATGTACTAGGCACGGCTCCTACATCCATCCAGATGAGAATCATGCTGCTTATGCCTAAGCCCCAAGGGGGGAGACGACCCTTGGGCCACTACCCAGCTATGCCACGTCTGCATGCTAACTACACAGGGGCCCATGTAGATCCTGGGAACGAGAATTTGGGCTGGGTGCTGCTCTCTCTATGTCTCAGGGACGGGGGCCTCAGGACATTGTTTGGCGTAGTGCTGTAAGAGCAGAGTGGCATAGTGACCAAGGTATTTCGTACTTATGTGTTCTATGGGATCTAGTGCAATTTTACGAAAAGATGTGTCACTGCAAGCTACTAGAACAAGCCGAATTAGTTGGCTTCCCTATGTCTGTCATCCTCTACACCATAGGCGCATACCGATGGACGCGAGCTCTTTTGATGGACGGGGCTTTCGGCCCATCTCTTTGCCCCCGCAGCGTGATCATCGCTGGATCGACATCGGCGACTTTTGAAGCAAAGGCGTATCTTTTACCAACTGTCAAGAGCTGGACCTTCGACCCTGACCACTCTTGTCTTGGAGTCCACATCGATGGCCTCCAGTTGCACTCGTGGGCCAGCTCGGTGAAGCTCTGCATCTCTACCATGCAGGCAATGACGGTGTCTCTAGCCAAAGTTTTTTCAACAATGCTTGGGATGCTCTCTCTCCGAAAAGAAGATGACCATCACCGCCAATTCCAAGGAGCTCGCGAAACATGCTAAAGCTGGTATTGGCCCCCTAGGAGGCTCTCTAGAGGACGCCCCACCAAGCCTCGGGATTGACTACATTGCTGGAAAGCCGAAGTTCCAGGTCCGTCGTCTGAGCAAGAGGGCTGCTAGGTGGCGTAAGTTTAAATATAGAATGCATAGGCTCAACAAGTTTAGGGGCTCACGTAGGCTTAAGACCAGGCTCTACAAGGCGAGTGCACAGTCAGTCATCTCCTACGGGGCCCAAGTTCAAGGCTTCTCACTTAGGGGAGTTTTAAGTTTAAGAGAAAGCGGCGGCTGCGGCTACGAGGGTGAAGCTCTCGGGGGTTCACTTGGATTTATCCTGGGCCCTCTCGTCTCGGTCCCGGGAAGACCTCACATATATATATATATATAGTTGCAGCCACGGTTGAACGACATGCATCCGAATGGTGGCACAACGCCCAGACCCGCCCCGAAGCTGGGGTCAAACACCAAGATGCCATCGTTCTGAGCTCACTCTCCCCTGCGTTTCGTGCTGCCCAAGAGTCGGCGTTGAGCTCTGTTGGTAAATCTTGGGCTGCTCGAGACAAAGGGCCGTTGAGTGATGCAATGTTGTGGTGGATTCTCAAGGTAGGGTGGACTATAGACAGTCCCTCCACTTTCACAACCTGCCAAGGTGATACGCTGGCCCTCACTGAATGCCCCCCGTCGGTGGTCACTCAGACATTTGTCGAGGACTTAACCAGCCAGAAGATTGCCGCAGTATTTAGGAAGAGGCTCGCGCCTTTGTCTCACCCCATTGCTCGGCAGATAGAAGCTGAAGGATACGGGCTTGTTGCAGGCAAAAAGATTCCCCACGGGAAATCTTTGCCCGATGAACATAAGCATATTTTTAAATTGGTTATTGCAGGGACCCTCCCCACTTGTGAAAGGCTCCACAAGTGGGGCTATGATCTTTCGCCTCATTGTTTGTTCTGTCAAGTGCCAGACACGCCCTTTCACCGTGTAAGGGGGGGGGGGGGGGGGGGTCCACGGGGCCGCGAAACGCCAGGAAGTATTTAGCCCAGAGTTGACCCAGGGCGCCCTGGAAGCTGGCCCCGACCACCCACTCCTTGCTCACTTCCTCCAACCTGCCCCCCCCATCCCAGAGGTGGCCCAGGGCTGGGATTTAAGATTCGTGGGTGCTCGGTCTAACCCAGTCGACCCATTTCATTTTCCCCCAGAGGCTTTTATTTGCACAGACGGGGGATGCGACAATCCATCCAATTCTGAACTAGCTCGTGCAGGGGTGGCGGCTGTAGAAGTCGACATTGAGGGGGGTCTCCTGCGTGCGATTTACTCCCGTCTCCCTCGAGATTTCCCTCAATCACCTGGAGATGCCGAGCATGCAGCAGTGGCTTTAGCGATGCTCCGATCGCTCGACCCTGCTAGTAACACGTATCACTACGATTGTTCTGCCCTGGGCCAATTTGTCACTTGGACAGAGAGAGCTCTAGCGGGCAGGACCCCGCAAGCCAGGTATTGGAGGCCAGCTGCGCGGTCGCTAGGTTCATCACCCATCCCTGCCATGTGTAAAGTGAAGGCCCACCTACCAGAGGGAGAGGCCCAATCTGATATTGCCTTATTTCATACAAAAGGCAACTCACTTGCAGTTCACTTCGCAGGATTGGGTAAGAGAGCGCACGGCCTTCCACAGAATACGTTAGACATCTACACCCAGGCCCTAGCCGAATACGAGAATTTAGTTATAGGAGCCTGTGCTGTTTTACATGTGTGGCCAAAACCCAAGGATATTTTCGGGCAGTTGGCCAGGCCGAGGAAGGCCCGCCGCCCTAGGTCCCAGGGGAAACCTCACCATCCAGTCTGGGACGGCAGCGCATTCCGCTGCCGTATTTGTCTCCGCTGATGCTCCAAGCAGAGTACGTTTGCATGTGAAGCCCTGGCCCCAACCCTAGCAGAGCTGCTGCGTACGGGTGGAGGGAAAGGGCACCAGCTTCACTCAGCTCGAATTCAAGGGAGTGGGCTGCCTGTCATTTTCTGCGTTCTCTGTGGGAGGTCTGCTACACAGAAAACAAGAGGCCTGCTGGAGACTTGCCCCCGCCCAAAGAAGTCAGGGGAAAGGAACAAACTCCTCAGAGGCCTTTTGCCTGGCACTTCCCTGCTTTTGGGCCCTGCTTTCCCCCTTTCGTTCCTCTGGTCCCCTCCTGCCCCCCGCGCTTCCCCAGGGCCTCAACTGCAGGAGAGCGGCCACCAGCCTCCGCGAGAGGCCAGAGAGATGGTTGCGAGTGCTGCTGCCCTTGCAGAAAGCCAGGGACAGCCTCTCGTCCTGCCCACTCAAGAAGCGCAGGCCCCCCCCAGAGGAGGAAATCCAGCCCTCCCGCGGCCTGCTGCCCGTGTAAGCTCTGTTTTTCTTTCGGGCCCCGTTTTGCCTCCTGGTCCGAGCTGTGCCCGCGCTCGCCACTGCCGAGGTTCGTCCTCTCTGCGGCCGTGGCCAGCCTAGACCAGGTCAGGTAGCGGCAGCCCGAGACCTAGAGCTCATATTGAGGATGATATGGGGGGGATACCTTTTCGGCTGCTGCTACCGACCACTGTTTTTTGTTTTGCCTTGGGAGTGGCGGCACTCCTGTCAGGGGATTGTGCACAAGGCCTAGCCGTATGATCACCCTGGTCAAGTCTTGAAGGTCTTGAAGGAGGAGGAAGAGGAGGAGGAGGAGGAGGAGGACGAGGAGGAGGTGGAGGAGGCGGAGGAGGAGGATGAGGAGGAACAGGAGGTGGAGGAGGCGGATGAGGAGGATGAGGAGGAGGAACAGGAGGAGGAGGAGGCGGAGGAGGAGGATGAGGAGGAGGAACAGGAGGAGGAGGATAAAGGGGGTCAAAACGTCTTGTGCTTCAAAGAGATGGCTCGCAGCAACTCTTGGCGACCTCGTGGGCCCCCCCCCGGCCCCCCGGACAGCTCGGGAACGTCCTCCCTCCGTCGGCCTGCTCCCCCCCCCCCAAAGTTTAAGTCGGGCGTGTCCCCCTACAGGGGGATTTTCGTCGAAACGTAAAAAAATACCCCCAAAATAGTAAAACAATAATCCAAAAATAGCCGGGGGATTATTTTTTGAGTATTTTTTGATTTTGTTGGGGCATCTTTGGTGTATCTTTTATTTTTCGTCGAAAATCCCCCTGTAGGGGGACACGCCCGACTTAACCCTAATTGTGGGGGCGACCAGGCCGGCCAGTTGTTTTGTTGGTCGTTCGCCCCAGCAGTTGTTTTTCAATCGTTGGCTCCCATTACGTTGGAGGTGTTGGCGCACGAGCGTGAGGATGAGCAGGAGGAGGAGGAGGAGGAGGAGGAGGAGGAGGAGGAGGAGGAGGAGGAGGAGGAGGAGGAGGAGGAGGAGAAGGAGGAGGAGGAGGAGGAGGAGGAGGAAGGAACATCTCACCTTCCTGTACTCTGTCACACCATATGATTGTGAGTTGAATGCAATTCTCTCTGAAATCGGCTTAAGGCCAACAGGAAGGAGCCGGAGGAGGAGGAGCAGCAGCAGCAGCAGGAGCCGGGAGAGCAGGAGGACCAGGGACGGGCGGAAGAGGGCAAACGAGAGGGGCGGCGACGACAACGAATGAGTGGGATCCACAGATATGGCCCGCGCGAGGGGCGGAGGCGGGGCAGGAGGTGGCTCAGGATGCGGAGCGGGATGCTCAGGAAGCGACGCAGGAGCAGGCGAAGGCGAAGGTGGAGGTGAGAGGCGGGCGCGGGAGAGTGGGCGAGGCGGTGGAGGAGGAGGAGGAGGAGGAGGAGGAGGAGGAGGAGGAGGCGGAAGAGAAGCTGGACAAGGAGGTGGAGCACGATGAGTGCGTACCGCACGGAGAACGAGGAGGAGGGAGGCGGGGGCATGGAGCGGGAGGGGTAGGGAGGGGAAGGGATGGGGAGGAGGAGGGGGAAGAGGAGGAGGATGAGGTGGAGGAGGGACGGAGGAGTGTGATGGAGGTCCGTGGGTCGAAGGGAGGAGGAGCAGCGGGCAGAGGATGAGAAGGAGGAAAACGCGGATGAGGGGAAGCAGGCGTAAGAGGAGGCGGAGGTGGACGCGGAACAGGAGAACGATGAGGATGAGGACGAGGAGGAGGAGGAGGAGGAGGAGGAGGAGGAGGAGGAGGAGGTGGATGCGGCCGGCTGTTTTTTTGTCAGGCTGGCTGACAGGTGCCGCAGCCAATTAGCTACTGAGTGTTGCAGGCAGTCCCGGTGCGGCAGCGGCAAGCATCGGGTGGTGTGCCTGGTGGGCGTTGCCCAGATGCCCCGCTCGTGGTACGGGCAACACATCACCTTCAGGCTGGCAGCACATCGGTACGCTCGTCGTGCTGCCACGCGTGTGCAAGGCAGGGTCGCAGCTGTGCGCCACGCTGCCGCAATATGAGGCATGTCAGAGAGGGCCTTCGAGGAACGACGGGGTTGCCGTCTCCTTCCTCGGCGGAAGGGGGCGGCCATAAAACGAGAGGGCGGCTCCGCCGGCGGTAGCCAGAGGAAGCTCGGCAGAGGGCAGCGGAAGCGCACAAACCGCCCCCGCCCCCGAGAAATGGCAAGGCTTTCTGGTTGAGGGTTTCCCGAACCCGCCATCTGGCAACGTATCGCTGCTGCAGCTTTCGGCGGCGAGCGAGGGCGGGAAGTGAGAAGGAGAACGCCTTCTCAGAAGGCAACGTTCTCGGACGCCCTCGCGCCCTCCGAGACGTTGTTTGTGTCTTCCAGGGAGGCATCGAAAACTTCTCAGTAGACCCGGGGGACTTTCGAGCCTTCTGAGAAGGCCTCCTTTTTCTCACCTCCCCCGCTCGCTCGCCGCCGAAACTTTGACAGCTGTTTGCAACGCTCTGGCAGCAACGTGCACGCTGATGGCCCATGCGTTGGCTGGGCTTGCGGGTGGCTCCTGTGTAATTTTCCAACGTTCACTGCAGCTCTGCAGCTGTGCATAAGGCAATTCTGGAAAAACGAGTCCGCACGTATCCTCAGTGTATCCTTGTCTTCCTCGTACTCATCTTCATGCTCTTCGTATTCGTCGTTATGCTTCTCGTCTTCTCCTCCGCCTCCATCTGTCCGTACTCTTGAATGCCGCATTATCCTCCTCCTCGCGTTCTACTTCATTTCCTTCGGATATTACTGATGAATTTCCCCCTTCTCCCATCGTGTTCTATCGCTAACACCCTCCCCCTTCCTATCGGTCCTCTTCATCACAGATTCCTTCTCCTCCCACTCCTCCTCCCACTCCTCCTCCCACTCCTCCTCCCACTCCTCCTCCTCCCCCTCCTCCTCCTCCATGTTCATTATCTTTACTCTTCCTCCTCTTTTCTGACTCTCTTTCTCCGCATGCGTCCCTCCCTTCCTCGTTCTCATCTTCCTCATCATCGTTACACTCCCCTGCCACCCCATCCTTGCGCATCTTGTTGTCCCCCTCCAACCTCCTCCATCCCCCATCCCCCCCCGTAAGTCATTATCGCGCTGCTATTCTCATTGCTAATCTTCATCCTCGTCCCCCACCTTACTCATCCTGCTACTCGCTCCCTACTCGCCGTCGTATCCTTCGTGCACGTCGTACCCTTCGCCGCCTGTGCTCCCACTGCACGTCGAATCCTTCGTGCGTGCCCCGCGCGGTGATCTGTCTACCTTCGCCGTGCTCTATCCGTGCTGCTCATGGCCTTCGCGAGGACTTCGCGAGGTGGAGGAAAAGGACGAGGAGGAGGACGAGGAGGAGGAGGAGGAGGACGAGGAGGAGGAGGAGGAGGAGGAGGAAGAAGGTCCGATTCGCGAATGGGATCGCTCTCCTCGTCCTCCTCGTCCTCCCCTCTCGCGAATGGGATCGTTCCCATCAATCCTCACGCTGCTGCGATCCAGTCAGTGGTACGCGCTGGAGGGAAGATCGCGCTCGCGAGCGCCGCGGCCGTTCCGGAGTGCTGTCTGGAACAGCCTTGACGGCCCTCTGGAGAACGCCCCCGGAGCGAGGCATCCCGATCCGAGGCCTGCCTGGGGGAGGCAGGGACGGTAGAGGGAAACAACTGCAGTCAACGCAATTTTCCCAAGGATCCCCCCTTTGCGTCCTTGCCTCCTCGGTCCCTCATTGGCCACTTTCGCTGGCCGCGCCCCGCCCGAAGAGCTTCGAAGCGGCCTTCCAAGGCCCTTGCATCTCTGCGGGGCATCCTTGTGATACTCCAGATTTCGTAATAAAAGGGAGGGGGTCTCAACCCTCCCAGACGAGAAGTTTTAGACCCCCCCCGTGGGAAAACCCCCCAAAACATCGTCCCCAGACCCCCCCAGGCCCTCCAAGATAGCCTGGAAGAGACCCCCCCCGAAATGAGACCCCCCTCCCTTTATTACGAAATCTGGAGTACGGGTTGACTGTAGAGGGAAACAACTAGTGGACACTCCCCCTCTCCCCCAATCCGAAAGCGGGCACGCGCGTCAGAGGAGGAAAGGGTGCTCATACACACCTCCACCCTTCGCTCGTTTGTCCCCTTTCTGGGCCTCCTGGGCGGCCCTCGTCACCACCGCTGGATTCGTCTCGGAATCCTGGTCAGAACGCACCTCGGGAGAGGTCCAGGGAGCAGCGGTACGGGTTATGATGTTCCAGCCTACTTTAGCCTTGACTACCAGAAAGAATTTCGAGCGCACCCCAAAACTCGAGGATTTTCACGTGTCGGGCCCTGGGAGACACTGTTTCGACACTGTTTCGACCCTCTTTCGACACTCTTTCGACACTTTTCTGGGTGCTCGAAATTATTTCTGGGATGTGGTCCTTAAGTCGGATGGGAGCAACATAAGGTATGGGTATCTCTTGCTCTCCCCACGCGCGAAGGAGATTTACGGGGTCGGAGTGCAACTCAGCAGACCCACCGCCAAGTTTGAAGATTTGGGTGGAGGGGGAGGCGTGGAGCGGCGAATGCGGCAGGAGTGTTCGCAGCTTGTCTTGTCCGAGGCCGCCTGGAGGGCTGGGCAGAGGGAGAGGGGGGAGGGAACCCGCAACTCTGGCGCCCGCCGTGTTTTTGCACAACGTGGCTCGCGGGAGGTTTGGACTGCTTCGCTGAACGCTTCTTTTCATCCCGAGTCGTCTTTGATTGCCTTGGGATTGGCGATCCTAGGCCTGCGTGGGGGAGGGAGGGGGGTGGGCAGAGAGAGAGGGGGGGGGGTAACCCGTAACTCTGGCGCCCGCCGCGTTTTTGCACAACGTGGCTCGCGGGAGGTCTGGACTGCTTCGCTGAAAGCTTCTTTTCATCCCCAGTCGTCTTTGACTGCCCTGGGTCTCGGCGATCCTAGGCCTGCGTAGGGGAGGGAGGGGGGCGGGCAGAGGGAGAGGGGGGGGAACCCGTAACTCTGGCGCCCGCCGCGTTTTTGCACAACGTGGCACGCGGGAGGTCTGGACTGCTTCGCTGAACGATTCTCTTCATCCCGAGTCGTCTTTGACTGCCCTGGGTCTCGGCGATCCTAGGCCTGCGCGAGGGAGGGAGAGGGGTTGGCAGAGGGAGAGGGGGGGGGGAACCCGTAACTCTGTCGCCCGCCATGGTTTTGCACAACGTGGCTCGCTGGAGGTCTGGGCCGCTTCCCTGAGAGCGGTTCCTCATACCGAGTCGTCTTTGACTGCCCTGGGTCTCGGTGAGTACACCTGGGATGCCGAGAATTGCCCGTGACCGTCTGTCCGAGTCTCGTTCACGTCGCGAGGAGGTCCGGGTGGAAGGGAGAGGGCGGGCAGGATGGAGATCGGCGGCGAGCGAGGGGGGGAAGTGAGAAGGAGAAGGCCTTCTCAGAAGGTTCGGAATTCCCCCGGCCTTCTGAGAAGCCTTCCCCGAAGACAGGAACAGCTTCTCAGAAGGCGTGAGGGCTTCTGAGAGAAGTCCCGCCGACTTCTGAGAAGGCCTCCTCCTTCTCACTTCCCCCCTCGCTCGCCGCCGAGGAAAGGAGGGAGGGAGGGGGGGAGCTGGAGAGAGGGGAGGGGGATGGCTTCGGCGACTCTTCTTCGCGGGCCGACCGGGGTTTCCCTGGCCTCCGGGCGCCGCCCAAGAAAACTTACTAGCGAAACCGTGGCTTTCGCGGTGGGGCACCGGGGGCTCTGCGGCTTCCTTCCTTGGCCGCAGTCTTCATCTGGAGCCCTTCCCTGGCCCCCCCCCATCGCGGGCCCACGGAGTTGCCAAGATCGGCGCGGCACGAGATGCTGCGGTCTTGCCTGGGGATACAGTGAGGACCCATGCCAAGAAACACCCTGCTTGCCTCCAGGGTGCCCTGGGTTTCTTTGGTTTCGATGGTTTTGTTATGGAACGCGTGACGTTACCACGCCAACAATCAATGGGCGTCCTTGGGTAAAGGGTTGGGTTTCTTGTGGAAGGTTTCTTGTGGTCGGGCATCCACTGTAATTCTAAACCTCCCAGGTAGGGTCGGAGTAGAGGGGGTGGGAGGATTGCGCCGTGCCGCCGATGCATCGGCGATGCGCCTCGAGGAGGAGCCCGACATGCTTCACGTCGACGGCGCCGATACATCGGCGATGCGTCGCCGAGGCATCGCCGGTGTATCGGCGATGCGGCGCGATTCGTCGCCCCAGATCCATGTTAATGTTTGATGGCCCCGGCTTCCGACAGCGGTCCCCAGAGGCCGACATCGAGTCGGGTGTTGCGAGAAGTGCCCCCGGCCCAAGGTTCTCCCAGGGGTCTCCAAGGAGACCTCCACGGCCTCCAGAGCACCCCTCACGAGGCCCAGAGGGCCCAGACCAGAGGGCACAGGGGCTCCCAAATGGAGCGAAACGCTGGGGGCACCTTGGGCCAGGGGCACCTTTGATCGACCTCCGATCAAGGTAAAACGCCAGGTTTAGAAATAGCACATCGTCGGAGAGCTGGGTTTGTCCAGCGTGCCGTCGGGAGTGTGGGCGCGCCGTTCGATCGGGGCGATGGTCCCTCCCCGCTGCGCGAGAGGGCCGAACTGTGAGCATCGTGAACGACCTCACGCCGCAGGAGACGCTCGGGAGGGGCCTGGCCGCGGGCTGGCGGGGCTGCTCCACTCCTCCTCCTCCTCGTCCTCCTCCTCCTCCTCCTCCTCCTCCTCCTCCTCCTCCTCCTCCCTGTCCTTCTCCTCATCCTCCTTCCTTATCCTTCCTCTCTTCCTCCTCCTCCTCCTCCTCCTCGTCCTCCTCCTCCTCATCCTCCTTCCTCTTTTCCTACTCCTCTTTCTCCACCTCCTCCTCCTCCTCCTCCTCCTCCTCCTCCTCTCCTTCTCCCCCTTCTCCTCCTCCTCCTCCTTCTCCTCCTCCTCCTTCTCCTGCTCCTCCTGCTCCTCGCGCACGGCTTGCGGGCTCGAGCTCTTCCGCTGAAGCCCACGCTGCTCCTCATTAGGCTCCTTCTCCTCCTCTTCCTCCTCTTCCTCCTCCATCGGGCTTCTGGAAGCCATCCTCCTCCATCTATTTTCCTGATAAGTGCAGTCAACCCGCATAGTAAGGATGGGCAACATCCTTGCCTCCTTGGTCCACCCTTGGCCGCTTTCGCTGGCCGCGCCCCGCTCGTAAAGTGTCGACATGGGCTCCCAAGGCCCTTGCATCGTTATCGTGGGTCCTTCGGATACGGGTTGACTGTAACTCCTCCTTGTCGCACCCCGGGGTCTGTCGAAGGGCGGGCCGGGCGTTTGGCCTGAGGCTTCCTCACCATGTAGGATCCAAGAGCTTCATATGTGTTACAGTTTCACAAATGGGTGGCGGGCCGATTTCAAAATGTGGCTCTCGCCTCAGCGCCGCGCACATTCGTTTTAAAGATTTGCACGAGCTTCGGGGATGAAGGCGGCCCGCTTTAAACACGTGGTTCTAGCCCTAGCGCCGCGCACATTCATTGTAAAACATTGCATGAGTTTCACGGATGGAGGGTGGTCCGCTTTCAAAATGTTGTTCTCGCCGCTAGTTGCGCGCACATCCATTTTAAACGTTTGCAAGAGCTTCACGGACGCAGGGCGTTTTATTCAACTTGTGATTCTCGCCATAGCGCCGCGCACTTTCGCTATCAGAGC